CTGTAGCTATTAAGAGGATTTCTTATTTTTAGGAGCATATAAATAGGTAGATAAAGCGATAGATGAGAGAGATTGAGAAGAACAAAACAAATGTAGAAAAATGTTAACATATGGGAAACCTGAGCAAAAGGTGTCTGCAGTTCTTTGTACTACCCTTTGAATTTTTCTGTTAAGTCTAAAATTATGTAGAAACAACCCCATTTCATTTTAAAGTCACTTAAAAGACTTCTTGTGGTTATGCTTTTGATTTGTTACATAGTAAGGTCAATTTGTTTCAATTAGATTTTGGCCTAATTTGATATTTTAATTATATAAAACAGGTATGTAGTTCCCAAGTGAACACTGTAAATAAATACCATTCAGAGAGGTCTAGCTGTTGTCCCCTCCCCTCATTCCCAACCTCTTTCTTCTCATTGGTAACTACTGTTATTAGTTTTTGGTTTATCCTTTGTTTTTTTGAAAATAGGGAAACATATATAAATATTCAAAATTTTCCCATAACAATATATCCGATAGATGACTCCATAGCAGTACCTAGAGATTTTCAGGCATGTTTGCTTTTGTTTTGTGTTTTAAAGAGAGACAGTTGTGTGCTGATGGGAAAGATCTGTAGAGAGGAAATATATTTCCAGGAAGTTGCGGGGGACAGGGCGAAATGCACAAGTGGGGTGGGGGGTTGGCTCTGGTGACAGTGAAGAAGGCAGGGGTATAGGAGCATTTGCAGATACAGACAGATGCAGATGTAGGAAGATGAGGAAGTTCTCTTCTGAGCACTTCTATTTTCCATTTACTTTGAAATAAAAGTGATCATCAGGTGGGAGCTGGGAAGGGGAGGGCGTTGTTGGCAATTTGAGAAGAGTGAAGGTATGAAAAAGCATTTTCTAAGAATAGGAGCATGAACTGACTAGGGCGGTTGCTTTCAAACCATAGCATCAGAATCACACAGATTTACTGGCCTCCGCCCCCAGAGTTTGATTCATAAAGTCTGGAATGAAGTAAAAAAATGTACATTTTTAACAAGTTCCTGAGTGATGTTGATGCTACTGGTCTGTGAACTGTACTTTGAGAACCACCAGACTGAGGAAACACAGCAAGACTCCTGACAGCACATGGACTCACTAGAGGTTTGTGGTCATGAATTTTAAGTGAGAGCGATCACCATGACTGTGTGAACCTAGCAGTCCTCATTTTACCTGGCAGGGGGAGTAGGTGGTGAGCTGAATTTAACCAAGGTTGGGATTTAGATAAAGAGAGGACAATGATGTCAGTTAATAGATGGCACCAAACAAGCATATCCATTTATTTCTTCTTTTCTACTTATCTTTACATAAATAAAAAGCTAAGATAACAACAAAGGAAGAAAGAGAGGGTGAGGGGAAGAGGATATATAGGAATGAGTTAAAGGACATATAGACAGTAGAAAGTTCATAATGAACAGGAAAAAGCTCATATAAAGAAGAACTAGAAAAAGATTATATTCAAATCTGGTCACAGTAGGACAAGGGAACTGAAAATTTAAAAAACATAATTAGTATTTTGAAAAGGGATGGCTTAGGTGTGGAAAAATACTAACAATATAGAGGGAAATATTTATATTCAATTTTATGAATGCTAATAGATAAACATCTATTTAATCATAAAAAATTAAGTCAGGATTGAATATACTTGCACATCTATGTTTATCTCAGCATTATTCACAATAGCCAAGAGGCAGAAGCAACTCAAATGTCCATTGACAGGTGAATGGATAAAGAAAATGTGGATATACAATGTAGTATTACGCAACCTCAAAAGAAGGAAATCCTTTTACATGCTACAACATAAGTGAACTTGACAGTATTATGGTAAATGAAGTAAGCCAGTCATAAAAGGACAAATATTGAATGATTTTACTCAAATCATATAGTCAAAATCAAAGAGAGTAGAAAGGTCGTTGCCACGGTGGGAGGGAAAATTAGTACTTAGTGGGTACAGAGCTTTAGTTTTGCAAGATGAAAAAGTTCTAGAGATCTGGTGCACAACAATATAAACATACTTAAGACTACTGAACTGTAAATTTAAGAACCCAGGCATGTGCCCTTGACTGGAAATTGAACTGGTGACCCTTTGGTTCACAGGCCAGTGCTCAGTCCACTGAGCCACACCAGCCAGGGCTTTTTTAAACTTTATTTTTATTGTTTACACCATTACAGATGTCCCCATTCCCCCTTTGCCCACCTCTCCCCTACCAATGTCCCCCCTTTCCCTCTGACCATCACTGTACTTTTGTCTTTGTCTGTGGGTTGTGCATATATGTTTTTTGGCGAATCCCTTTACCTTCATCCAACCCCAGTCCCCCTCCTCCCCTCTGACAGCTGTCAGTCTGTTCCATGTATCCATGTCTCTGTTTCTATTTTGCTTGTCAGTTTATTTTATTAGATTCCATATGTAAGTGAGATCATATGGTATTTGTCTTTCACCAACTGGCTTATTTTACTTCGCATAATATTCTCCAGGTCCATCTATGCTGTTCCAAAAGTAGGATTTCCTTCTTCTTCTTTCTCTCTCTCTCTTTTTTTTTTTACAGCTGTGTAGTATACTACTGTGTAAATGTACTACAGCTTTTTTGATCCACTCATCTACTGATGGGCACTTGGGCTGTTTCTGGATCTTGGCTATTGTAAATAATGCTGCTATGAACATAGGAATGCATATATTCTTTCAAATTAGTGTTCTGGGATTCTTAGGATATATTTCCAGAAGTGGGATCAATGAGTCAAAAGACAGTTCCATTTTTAAGTTTTTGAGGAAACTCCATACTGTTTTTCACAGTGGCTGCACCAGTCTATGTTCCCACCCAACAGTCGTACTTGGATTCCCTTTTCTCCATATACTCACCAGTACTTGTTTGTTGATTTATTGATGACAGCCATTCTGGCAGGTGTGAGGTGCTATCTCATTGAGGTTTTAATTGGCATTTCTCTGATGATTAGTGATGATGAGCATTTTTTTCATATGTCTATTGGCCATCTGTATGTACTCTTTGAAGAAATGTCTATTCAGGTCCTTTGCCCATTTTTAAACTGGATTTTTTATTTTTTGGTGTTGAGTTTTAAGTTCTTTATAAATTTTGGAAATTAACCCCTCATCAGATGTATCATTAGCAAATATGTTCTACCGTTCAGTGGATTCCCTTTTCATTTTGTTGATAGTTTCTTTTGTTGTACAGAAGCTTTCTAATTTTATGTAGTCCCATAAGTTTATTTTTTCCTTTGTTTCCCTTGCCCTAGGAGATATATTGGCAAAATATATACACAAAATTCTTGCCAGTCTAATACAGTAATCAAACCAGGCCAATGCGGTAGTCTTCCTTCTCAAAGTTTGGGGGTGGGGTATGGGAGAACGTTTAAGAGCTACAAAATAATTTTACTCTATCAATTTAAAAATATTCTGTCCTATGTGTCATATTTATAACAAATTAAAAGCTCTGAGGAACATAATGTTCAGAATAGTGTATACACCCAGAAATAGTTAGAATGTTACCTAAAGTTCAATGAGTTAAATATTATTGAGTGTAAACAAAGCTGCAGAGAAACAATCATGGGGGAAACCCCCCCTAACTTCTTTATTTTAAATGACAACAAAAAAGAGAAAGTGACATTAGAATGCAGGGCCAGCAATTACATAAAAGGACAGATAGTGGTTAAATATCAGATTAGGACCAAAACAAAAACTGCAGAATTCCTTCATTATTTTCTCTAAAATACAGGAGATACTTCAATTTACTGGGCACAGTTTATCATGGTGATACGAGGGAGAATACCATTACAAATCTCATCTATTTCTAAAATTATAAGATTGTTTTAGAAAATAAATCCAAGGTATTAAAGGAATACATGAAAATATACTAAAATAATGTACAAATCAAGCAGAACTTAAAAAATTAATGAAGAACATAATTCATTACTAAGGTTAGTATTATTCAATACAGGAATGCCATTTTATGTGAATAACTAAATTTCTAAAACAAATCTAGAAAGAAACAAAATGAATGATTGTGTTTTGAAAGTCCATATAGCACACAGCCACACAGGTCTAATTCAATTTATGCTCTACTTCTTCGGAGTAGTTCATCAACAAACATGGTCAAATAAGGGTCTCTTTACCATCCTTGATGGCTTTCTGGCTACTTACAAAATAAAGTCCAAATTCTGGACATAAAGAAAAAGAAAAATTGTTCCCCAAGAACAAGCAACTCTTGTAAACAACAATTTACATTTCATAGAATTATCGGAAATTTATTTCAATATTGTCACAGCCTAGAACATACTCTTATGAGTTCTAATAACAGTTGTATCGTAAGAAAGATCCTTCTTACATTTAAAAATTATTTGAAATTTTTTTAAAAAAATTACTTGATATCTTGAACTAGCAATAGTGACTAGTATGTAATTATATTGATTAAACATTACTTTGCTAAAATTATACATTTTCAGGATATAAAATGCATTGATAGAAAATTAATTTCTAAAAATTGTGTGATCAGATATAAAATTAATGAAGTGTTATATTTATTGTATCACATAAGAGTATGACACCACAGGTACTATTTTGTGATGTGTGAGTTTATGTTTTTACTTATGTATCTTTATTCTCACTGTTATGCTTTATAAATAATGAAATATTTTAAAGAAAAAAGTTCATGTAGCATATTTTGGTATAATTTTTAGAAAAAATAGAAAATGCGTATTTCTGCTTAGGATTTATACTGCTTCTTTATTTTGAGGGGTTAGGGAAAACTTCTCACAATTGTCAAGGTGAAAGTATTCATATAAAAGATTAGTTTCCTAAAGTTAAGTGTTCACTGAGTTTATAGATAAAGTTGTTACATAGTGGTAGGGCTTTCTAATATTTTTACATGAAGTCTGAGGGCTGTCATATTGAAAAAAGAAAAGGAAAAAAAACCCTATTACCACATGCAAATGTTAAAAGAAAACCCTAACCAACTGCACCACAGACCAGATGGAGGAACCCAGCTGACAGATGATGAGTCTCTGTGTCTAGGGAAGCTTGGGGTTCAGTGCCTTTTACTTCAAGGGAGCCTGAACTGTGAGTATTCCTTGATTTTAACTACATAAATGATCCTTTATTTTAGTTAAAAACTGATATATCTCAATATTGAAAGTGAAACTTGCTTCATGGTGACACTTTGCTTTCAGAAACTTGAATAAACTGCTTGAATAATGCTTCTGGCTTGACTTGAACTTGTCTTCTTAGTTGCTTGAAGTACTTTAGGACACTGAAAGTATTTAAGCTCATACTCCCGATATTGTCACATTGTGTGTACTATATTTTATACATTACCATAAAGATGTGCAGCTCTACTTGAATCAATTAAAAGTTATTTTCATATGCAACAGATTTTATTTCCAATATATTATAAATGATGTTTAACATTAACTTCATTAAGTTATGCTGTCCCCCTAGTGTCAATGAAAATATTTTCATTATTATACTGTTACTATTTTATGGTAATTACCAGATTTATTAAATTTTAAGTTTTGTGCTTCAGAAGTAAATAAGGTGAATATTAGAGAAAAGCGAGAGCAAAATATACTTCAGTTAATTCAACTAACTAAAATTAAAAAAATGGGGCTTAGACATAAATTTATAACAAAACCTAATGTACTAATAGTATTATTCCCAGAGTAACATGCTTTCAATTTCCATTCTGTATGCAGCAATTAATGCAATTTTTGACAAATGGCCTGAATGATTCAGTCTTTATCATGATGCAGTCAAACTACAAGTGGTTATAGGTTGCTACTGTTGCCAAACAGGTATGTCCTTTAATATAACAATGTGATGTCTGCACAAACATGCCCAAATTGCATTTAAAAAGCTTTTGCTCACTGGGGGCCACAGTGGAATCTGTTGGGTTCATGAGGCTTCTAAATGAACCAGTTGAAAAATATTGGCAAAGGTAGGGTGGTGGTGGGTACAGTGCAGCACTAACACGGGGTCGCAAACTTTAGGATTTGCCAAGTAACAACATTACAAGTTCATTTACCATCTCCTATCAGAAAACCATTGTAACCACTTCAATATAGCTCATGTCACAAGCAATATCCACAGAGAAATTTGTCTACTATTTGAACAATGTGTTTCATTTCCTGTCTTCACTGGCAATTGTTAACAAATCAAGTAAGTAGTTTTAAAAACATTAATAAATGCCCTTAAGGGCATTTAACACAGATAGTGGTTAAATATCAGACTTAACCTTATTGATGCATTGTAAAGGAGGCAAAATGCAGCCATTACTTTAAAACAGAATTTAACCTGTTAATTTGTTAATAAATGGCTGAACATTAGCCACCTAAGACATGGTTCTAAATGATGGTTACTATTACTATTTAAACAAATACATTGCTTTTGTTTTATTTTATTTAAGTTTGAAAATAAAGCAAAACCAGAAAGGTTTACTGGCGATCTTGTCTATTATTTATTTTATTTGCAGGTTTTAGGATATATGTTTTGTGTTAACAGCTTTCTAGAAACATCTTGATTAAGTTTATCAGGTCTTGAAGGAAGCTAGAAAAGATGTGCTCTAGGATAAGTGCTGAACATTCTGATGAATAATTTGTTAAACTCTTTGCAGTGGAACTTCGGTTCTCAAACTTATTTTGTTCTGGAAGGGTGTCCGAGAAGCTATTTGTTTGAGAACTGAATCACACTCATACTCGCACATTCTCTCCTTTGTTTGTCCCCTAAGAGATGTATGCCTGATCATACAGGTATCAGCCTGAAAGGGTTCTCAGGTTGAGAACTGGACTTCTGTTTGACAACGAAACTGTTCAAGATGGGACACGTTTGAGAACTGAGATTTGACTGTACTTATTATAATGGACATAGTAAATACAAAGATTAATACCTTTTCCAAAGAAGTCAAGCTAGATGGCATAATTTCTTCTTAGAATTGTTGATGTGGATAATGTTAAAGGAATCACCTTAGTATACTGCTCACAGAACTCATCATTAATAAAGAAAATGGTGATCATATATGATGAGGAGGAGAGAGGCTTGGTGAAAAGTATCAGAGGGTTTCAAAGATAGACAGATCTGAGTCACAACTTGGGTACTGCCATTTAAGATCTGTGTGGTCATAGGTAAAGGTCATAACCTCTTGATCTTTCATGACCTCTTTTGTAATAGCTACCTCACATGGTTATTATAAGGATTATGTAAACGAAATATCATAACTATGCTTAACATACTGCCCGGTACACAGCAAATGCTAAATAAATATTAGTTAATGGTTCAGCTGTCTAGCTCAAGGGTTCAGTTCTGCACGCACATTAGAATTCTCTGAGGAGCTTTTAAAGGAAACCATTGCATGGAGCCCATTCCAGACCAATTAAATCAGATCTGGGGATGAAGCCAGGCATTGGTGTCTTTATAAAGTCCTCAAGGGGATTCTAATATGCATCCAGGATTGAGAACCACTGAGAATCTCTTCTACAAAGTACCCAATCAGTAGTAGTCTGGACAATCTCTATAGACCTTTAGTGACTGCTAAGATAGATGGCTTCATTCTAAAAAACAAAAACAAAAAAAAATTTCTTTAAAAGAAAGCAAGATCTGTCTCTGCAATTTCTATTCATTGATTCTTGTTCTGCTTTCTGAAGATACATATTTAAGGTGAAATCCTTTTCTCCACGTCCTTGTAAAGCATTCACATCTCCAGGGAAAGGTGTCTACTTGCTTTAACTCGCTTCAACTTTGTTCTCCTGAGCAGGCAGGTGCTGTGTTCCCTACATCTGTTATGTTAATTGCATGCTCCTGTAGGCCAATGATTTTAATTATGACCAACTTGGTTTTAGGTTGAAAAGGAAGACATTTAGGACCTTTTCTCTATTCCTACCATGGAATGAGACTGCCACAGTTTACCTCTCACAGTTTACCTCTGGCTCAATGTGTGTCAGAATGAAAAAACGCCACATACGAGGGAAGGGGCCAAGGTGGGAAGCTGGGCAGAGGCCAGCAGAGGGCCCAGCTCAATTATGGCTATAACTGCCTTTAGGGAAACTGATGCTTATCTTTGAAAAATATGAGCTGTCATTTCTCTTCGCCTCCATCTCTATTCCCATAACAACCTCCCTAAACAAAGATGATTTCATATTTCAGTTATTGATTTTAATATAATAAATAAAACAAACCTTGAATATATATCACAGCCATAGGAAAGGTTAGAGCAGGATATTCCATAAGATTCTATTATATTTTTGCTGCTTGATTTTTATACCATAGTGCTGCTACATACATACATAGTGCAGATACTCAAATGATCCAAAGTAGGATAAAAGTAAAGTTTCTTACAATGTCTGAAAAAAAATCAGTTATTATTTATGCTTGGAGTGAAAGTAACTTATTAAACTAGCAAATGACTCAATGTTTGGTACTCTGTTGTAGGAAAAATCTGAAGACCTTATAAAAACTACATATGAAGAACATGCCATTTGGTAACTTCACTTTTTGATCCCTACAGAAGGAGAGGAGAAGTCACACCATAACCATGACAACTATTTCAGTCAGCAGGTGGCCTTGCCCCTCCCAGGGAGCATGCTTTGTAACTAACCACAGCAACCAAGCGCTACCACACAACTCCTCAGGAACAGGGAATTCTACTGACTGCCGCATGGATGAGAAATTATTATCTAATATGTTAACTGTATTCTACTCTGTTATTTTCATTTTGGGACTGTTTGGAAACATAATTGCTCTCTATGTATTTTTGGGTATCCACCGTAAAAGAAATTCCATCCAGATTTACCTCCTTAATGTAGCCATTGCAGACCTCTTACTTATCTTCTGTCTCCCTTTCCGAATAATGAATCACATTAACAAAAACAAGTGGACACTAGGTGTGATTCTTTGCAAGGTTGTGGGAACACTATTTTATATGAACATGTACATTAGCATTATCTTGCTTGGATTCATCAGCTTGGATCGCTACATAAAGATTAATCGGTCCGTACAACAACGGAAGGAAATAACAACTAAACAAAGTATTTATGTTTGCTGTACGGTATGGACAGTTGCTCTTACTGGATTTTTAATTATGATTAGTTTAACCCTTAAGAAAGGAGGTCACAATGACACAATGTGTTTCCATTATAGAGATAAGCTTAATGAAAAAGGAGAAGCAATTTTTAATTTAGTTCTTGTGGTAATGTTCTGGCTAATTTTCCTACTAATAATCCTTTCATATATTAAGATCGGCAAGAATCTAATGCGGATTTCTAAAAGGAGGTCAAAATTTCCTAATTCCAGCAAATATGCCACTACAGCCCGGAATTCCTTTATTGTGCTTATCATTTTTACTGTATGTTTTGTTCCCTATCATGCTTTCCGATTTGTCTATATTTATTTACAGCTAAATGGGCCATCTTGTTATTGGAAGGAAATCATTCACAAAACCAATGAGATTATGCTGGTTTTCTCATCTTTCAATAGCTGCTTAGATCCAGTCATGTATTTCCTGATGTCTAGTAATATCCGCAAAATAATGTGCCAACTTCTTTCTAGACGATTTCAAGGGGAATCGAGCAGGAGTGAAAGCACTTCGGAATTTAAACCAGGATACTCCCTTCATGATATGTCTGCTGTAGCTAAAATTCAGACTATTTCTTAAAGCATTTGAGGTGAACATGTTAAAAAGCTTCTTAATTCCTTGAAGAACTAAGTGTTATGAAATGAAACTCAAGCATTTACAAGGGTCGGATCTTCTCAAATCTCTTCTTATTTGTGATATTTCATTTGCTTAATTGTAATATATCTCAAGGCAAAGAAAAGCTTACACTGATCACTAGATTTTAAATCTGTATGTAAATCTTTTTAAAATATACTGGTAAGCTAACACTCTTGTCATAGATTATAAAGTTAAGTGAAACTTATGACTTTAACACCAGAGTAACTAAAGGAAATGTCATAGTTTGTCAAGTCACTAGAGTAGTTACTCAAAATTAAGTACCTAATTCTATTTTAAAGTGTGTTTAAAAGTAAGTTAAATGATTTGAGGACTGATTTAAAACGTCAGAAAATATATGTTGATTGTTACTTAAAAAGCTTGTAAATTTGCCACTGTATTCATTGATGCCTAAACTTCTATAACAGGTGAAATGTTAATAAACTTCTAATAAAAAATGAAATCGTTGCCTAGATAAAATGGAAAGAATTGAAATATTGTGCAGTAAAATAACAAAAACAACAACAGATGAGCTAAGAATTTCATAACCTAGCAAAAGGACTTAAAACTTAGCCATCTTGAATCACACTTTGACAGAGTAAAATTGAAGATGTGTATACCTTATACATCTTACAGAACCTCAAACACATACAAGAACACATATGTAATGATGTTCAGTGAACTACTGTTCTTAATAGTAAACAAGTGGAAACAACCTAAGTGAGTATGCATCAGCAATGAATGGAGAAATAACCTGTGGCTCATTCACAAAATAGAGTACTGCACAGCACTTCAATGAAATGAACTACACCTGCATACATCAACGGAGTTCTCAAAAACAATGCTGAACGAAAAAACAAACTGCAAAAGGGTTATGCAACATATGAATGCAGTTAGTAAAATACAAAAATATATGAAACAGTACTATATTCTTTATGGATCTAAATTTATACAATTAAAATAAAAAAATGCATAGTAATATATACAACATGTGCACCAACTAAAAGTTAATGGTTATATCTGGAGAGATTTGAAGCAAACATGGTAAAATGTTAATGTCTGTTAAATCTGTGTGGTAGTATTTGGGTATTTGTTATATTATTTTTGGCATATTTCTGAGTGTTTGAAATAGTTCATAATAATAAATAACACTGTAGATTAGAATTAAAAGGAGCAAATTCTGAAATTTTTGTGAATGTTCAAAAATAACTAAAGAGTAAGATCTAAGAGAAAGAAATCTTACTCATCACTGACTTCCCAGAGTTTATTTAGTGACTTGCCTGGCATACAGGAGATCAATACGTATTTGCTGAATAACTGAATGGATGAGTGAATGAATGGAAGGATGAACAAGTCAGGAAGATGGGCAAAAGGTGCTTACAGAACTGAAAAAGGGGGTACATTTTGTTTTTTTCCTAGTCCTGGTCATAGCTGCAGAGAATATCATACAACTGTAATAAGGAGATGTCATTAAGGTAACCATTCTCAAAAGTTTGGCTGGCATTTGTTCTTTGGTCAAACACAGAATCAGAATGCCATTGACTGAATATGTAAAGGACTGTTCCGAAAAACTCCAAAGAACTATTCATAAGTTTCTGTCACGGAGTACGAGAATTATTTATAGTCAGAACACTTCTTGAAACTTCAGATAGGCCACTGGCTGAGAAATCAATATTGAAGAGTTAAGAATTTTGTTAGGGCTAAATTTATTTTCATGAGATTTGGCTTGTACACAATTAGTGTTCAGCTCTATTTCAGTAAGTGTACACAATTCGTTGAATAAAGAATAGGTCTATGCAGAATTATATTTTAAAAACAAAACCATTTGAGAATAAAAATTAAAATTTGCAGAAAAATTAGAGGCTCAGAAAAAAGTAATACAATTTTTATTAATTGCCTTGCTTTGACAGGGTTAACATCACCTATCTGAAATTCAGCATTTCTGCTTACATGATTTTAAATATTGCTTTTCTCTCATGTTCTCAAAATTAATTTTTTTACATTACTGATAAATATTTTATGTTCCTACATATATCTCTCATAAACATACAATTTGAATGGTTAAATTATACCATTTATTATTAGCTTTATGAAATATTAAAAGAAACAAACAGACTCATAGTCCTAGAAGTTGTCTTAAAATTTTATTGAGATGATCTCTATAAAGCCCTACACGATGACATTCATTAAAAAATTAACAAGTACACTGAGTTAAATCTTGCTATAATACTTGTGGTAAGATAAATTTTGATGAAAGTCAACCTGCCCATGAGCTCGTTATGAATTCTGTTTACCAATAGAAATTTCGCTAATAACATGCCTTAGAGTAACCTGAATCCCAAGAATGCTTCTAAATTTTTAGGAAAAAGCATGCTACTGGCTTACCAAATTTAATTTTTTATTAAGTGTTAAGTGTATGCAAGCAAGAAACACTGTTCCTACTTCCTCCAACCCAAGGTTTAGTTTTAGAAGCATATAGAAAAAGGAAATTCAGAATGTGTCCTCACCTTACAAAAAATCTCCAGAAAAAGTTTCTAGATAACATCTCACATATGCAAAACCAAACAAGGGCAAAGTTAACTGCCTGGCTGCCAGAGTGAGACCTAAATCCTGAGTAATGCTGTTAGTTTTGAAAAAGTATTGTGGGCAGAGCTGGGTTTGATCGTGGTTGAATTTCTAAGATCAGGTCGCTGGAAAAAGAAAATTCTGTTCTAGTACAGAAGGTTTTATTTTCAATTTCTTTTTAAAATAGATTTTTCAGTCCTGCTGATGTAAAAGTAGAACTAATATAATTACAACTCTTTGAAGCAGAGTCTGGCCGAAAGTTATTCACAAGAGGAAAACAGCATGAAATTTAGTTCTCTCAACAGGCAACCTGGGTTTCGCAGAAACATGTTAATGGGCTAATTATTTTTTAGCCTTTCAAAATATAAATGGAAATTTATTTTACAGGATATTAAAATATATTCTTATCCTTTAATAAGAACACTGTGGCACAGATGCAAAGATACACTTATTGGTGGAACAGAATACACATCTCTAAGCAAACCTTCAATGATACATGAGAAAATTATATGACAAATTAATGGCTCTCTAAAGGGTTGGAGCAGGGACAAATTCGAGGGAAAGTTAAGATTCTGTTAGTCATGATGGGCTAGAATCTTGCAAAGTGGGGTTAAGTTAATTTTTAAAAAGTTTCCTAAGTGACTCTGATACACTTTCCTCCCTTAGAGAGAATCATCATAAACAAAGGAGACACCACAAAAATCATTGGGGAAGGAAGGGATGGAGTAATAGACAGTGCTGTCCCTATTTAAAATAAAAAGTCAATTTACTGCCTCACCTAGTTTCTCTCTTCCCTTCTCTCTCTCTCTCTCTTTCTTTCTCTCTCTCTCTCTCTCTCTCTCAGACACACACAAATTATAAGTGGATGAAAGAGTTAAATATAAATAATGAAATCATTAAAAGATTTAAAAATATGTAAGAAACTAACTCATCTGTGAATGGGAAAGAAATTTCTATCGATAAGACAACAGAAATAACCATAGGAAAAAAATGCATAGATTTGACTAAAAAAAGTAGATTCCTTTTTTGGTCAAAAATCATAAAAATAAAAACAAAATCACAAACTGGGAAAAATATTCATGACAGATATGACATTGACAGAGAGCTTTTCATATCAGGCACCAAAAGACACCATGAATTTGTAAAGAAACTTGTATTTTTGATAAGAAAGCATGGGAAATGTAGAATATAATCTGGATTATGTCAACTCAGATGAGATAGAAACATCCTCACATTGGATGATGCGCTGTCTTTTTTCATAGCTACATGGTCCAGTCAAGAACACACTTCTGTAAGTGGCTGCTGTAGTATCTCAGTTGACTGGTCTGGTGGTGGTAACAGCAGACTCAGAACTGGAAGGGAAGTGCTAGCTAAGTTTGTCCTAAACTTCTACTTTGATTCTCATTTCCCCTCTTCAAGTTCACATGTAAGGAAATGGGAAGCGAATATAATGACTTACGTGCCTTTTAAAAGTCCAAGGTGCTTGACATGCATTATTATTATTGAATGCTCATTGCATTGTGATATATATGTCAGCTGTATTTTACAGGAGGGGATGCAAGTTGGTAGACTGTTATTTCATCGACATTGTGTCTGCTAAGACAATGCTTTTCATTTTCATTTCATTCTGCTCAAGCACAATGGTAATTGCTGAGGTATCTTTTTTTTCCCTTAAACATAAATTGGCATTAATATATATTTGAGGCAAAAAATACTACTTATCACTCATCAAGATTGTGTGATGTCAAATAGCCAAGATCTAAAGATTAGTTGCCTACCCATTAACATTTGTACACTCTGTGAAAACTGTGCCTGAAATATGGACAATAATCCAGTATGAAAGGATACAGGCTGAACAGAAGAAAAAAAATCTAATCAGAGCATCTCGTCCTTACTAGTTTTGCTTCTGGCTCAGGAAATGCATGAGGAACCATCATTAAGATGAGCTTTGAAAAAGGTTTCTAATTATGCTTTGGATACAGGTGTTGATGATGCAAGTTATTTCAGGAGCAAAAATAAACTGTTGCAATTATGCTATGATTTGGTAATTCTGCATATAATCTTTTTTATGAAACATTTCAAATATACAAAAAAAGACAAAACAGAACTTAACAGGCAGCTAAGCACTTATCATCAAAACTGCACAGTTGTTTATGTTTTGGCTTCTTTGCTTTATTGTTTTCTTGTACCCACACAATCCAAAAAGTTTAGAGATACTAAAGCTGATCTCAAGGTAGCCTCTCTCCTGAAGTTAGTGCATATCATTCTGATATGTAATTTTATACTTTTATAACATATGCATCCACAACAATATACACTGGTTTTTGTTTTTAAAATCTACACAAATAGTATCTTATTATTACATTCTTCTGTAAACTTTTTTCACTCAAATTAGTTTATGTTGACATATATGGTTCTCATTCATTTTCACTGATGCACTGTGGTTTTTTATGCAAAATGTTTTGTTGTGCAGACAAACAACCGTTCAATTCTCCATTTCCGCTAACAATGGGTTCTTAGGTGGTTTCCACTTTGTTACCATTAGAAACCATGCTCAAGTGAAGTGAAGCCATTCCATAGGGGGCAAGATTGAGGGAAAATTAGAAAAAGGGGAGGATTAGGAAGATGTTGGTATTGCCCACTCAAACACCGTCTAGGGGAAGAGTCTTGAGCAACAGACCTGGATCATTATCATTCCATTGGTAAGGTCATGGCAAGGATTATAGTGGGGCTGGATCTAATAGGTCTTCTTAGCCCAATGACATTAAACATTCAATAATGAACTGAAAGGTAGCATAACATA